CAATACATGGATGTCAGAAGTACAGATAAACAAGTTTAGTTCATAATTAATCTGAATTTGTAATTTTGATGGAATATATCCAGTTGTTTTTTATGGTAAAATCGTGTTTTCATAGTAAAATATTGACTAATCATTTTAACTTCTTAAATCAATTTCATTCCAATTCTTTTGGTATCTTTTTCACGTCTACATTTTTACCAGAACTTTTTTAACTATTTAAACACCTCAAGCTGCTAACCCATTAGATTCAAGATTGTATGGAGGTGCGTGAACAATATCAATATATAAACGTTGAGTAGTAATTAGTTCCAAAAATATTGAATTCCCGGAATGTGTTATTTTTATAGAAATGAATCTAAGAACTGATTCCTTTAAATATTAAGCAACAAAGAACGTGAACGTATTCATTTTTTTATAAAAAAAATTAACAAATTTTACAGTCATTTTTAATTTTAATATTTTTATTTTTGTTTCTAGATAATTGTGTATCCAGGATTTCGTAATGGAGGCTGTAGTAAAGAAATCTACAAATATACATTCTTTGGACAGTTTTTTTTTGCAAATTAATAGGTATTGCTATCAATAGACACACGGGTATCCATTGACAACAACTTTTTCTAAGTGCTATAAATAAAAATATACTTTTATGTTGAGTTAATTATTTATATATTTTTAATTTTAAATGAATATTTTAAATATATCATTAATTCTGAACTTAAAAATTTCCGTTATTATTGTAATATGGATATTTTCAAATAATTGTTACAGAATGGATTAATTTTTAGTTAAATTGTGGTGAGTAATTATTTTATTATTATTTGTAATTGTCGTGAGTTTATTGTTCAAAAAAAAAAAAATCCAAATCGATTGTCTTATATAAAACTATTAGTATAAAATTAATGGGCATTTATATTTGAAATCTTATGTTGGTCAAACCAAAGGAAATATTAAGATTGACAAATATTAAGTGAAAGAGCGCACTACAATAATATTAATATACTACTCGAGTATTTATAAAATTTTCAATTATATTATAAAATTATTACACTATAATAAAAATAATATATTATAAGTGTAAAATTAAGGCGCAATACGGAGGAGCTTAATCCCCACTATTCTGTTGCAGTCCTTAATGAAAATTACATGTTGATTTATAGAAAAATATATATCTAAGGAGAGGAGAAATTAAGTTAGATCTCTCAAACATTTTGTTAACATTGGACATTATCTGCGTGAGTTATAGATAATCTTATTTTAACAAGTCCAGAAAAAGCTTCAAGATTATCAACAAAAAATATATTTATCATGCACATGGTTGAAATATACTTTAATTTTAATCTATAGTTATAATATTAGTTTAATGATAATAGCATATTATTAAGTATTTTTTAAATTTAAAGGAACAAAAATGGGAAAAAGTTATATTTTAGAGGGATTCGATGTGGAACAAGTTCTTTTATAGAAAAAGGGACGAGTTCCTATTTTAGGTAGTGAACAAGAATCAGAACGAGCTCTGTTTAAAAAGGAAATTTTCCAACATTGCAAAATAATTACCTTTGCAATATTTATGAAATCAGCTAAGCTAAAAGGAGGACCATTATCTCAAACAATTGTTTTTAAAATTACTTTTCATCAAATAATTTGCATGTAATTTAAAGTAATTTTTCAAATTAATTATTATTTTTGTTCGCAACATAACTTAATAAACTGCGCTTTTAACCGTCTAAACTATTTTTTTACAGCTCATGATATAGCTCGAAAGCCGAAATAAAATTTTTCAAAACCAGACATGTATTTGTTCATTTAATATTTTAAATACGACACATAAAATATTTTTCTTGTTGCCATTAATATATACGGGCTGAGATGAAAACACATGGGAGTTTAGTATGACAACTTTAGACTCATTATTTTAGAAATTATAATTTACTAAATTATAGAGTGAAGATGAAGTTTGGGTTATGTTATTTTTATCATTACGTATTAACTCTACTGTGCTCTTCTTCCACTTTATATTTTAAAATGTTAATAAATTACGAAGTACTATTTTAAAAATTGTTTTGGACTTGTAATTTTCTTAATTATATCATATTTATTTTTTGTATTATTATAATTTTTTAATATTAGCCAGTTAAAAATGTTTGTTGCCATTTAAAATAATAGTTATTACCCTTATAAGGTATAAGGGATGAATTAAAAAAAAATAGGTAATTTATAAATCGAGAAATATATAAAATTAAAAAACCAAAAACAATTTTTTTAATATAATTGTTATTTTAGAGTGATCGAGTGGCTAATATTAAATGAATCACTGTGTATACTAGCACTTAATTGTTTTATTTCAAAGTTGAAACATGCGTATAAAAGGTGAAACTCTTTCAACTTAGCTTTGAAAATGTATCGAACGAACTACTTTAAATTCTCCGTAAAATTTTCTATACTAATTTACCAAAACGATTTGATACTAAATTTAATTACTGTAATAGATATTAATTCATATATTATACTAAACACTATTTACAAATTTGCAATGAAGTGTTTTTTATTATGTAATTTTTTTGAAAATCTGATCCTTTATTTGCTCATAGAAAGATTCAAGATAGCAACTTTTACAAGAAAACTTAACTCATTTAATACGGTAGTATAAAATTTCTTTCTTCTATCACAAGTACTCTTTAGCTTAAAAATAATTCTTTAAAAAAATGTTTGTAAAAAATATTTTATTTCTTACTCTTTAAACATTTATAGCACTGTAAATATGTGTCTCTTATAAGACTAAAAGTTGTAATTTTAATCATTTTTCTTGTATTAGATACTTTGTCTATTTTATCGCAAAAAATGTTTATTGATTAACCCGTTGTGTTATTAAAACTCTTATATATAATGTACAGGGTTTTTCTAATATTACATATTATATCACTTAAATTTCACACATAGTTTTTTGTAAAATATATTTTGAGTTGCTTGTTCGTTTTTACGATTGTTATAACGTGTATTTTTTTTTTAGAAATTTCATAAAAAATTTAACGAATGGATACTCAAAGTAAATCTTTTGTTTATTTTATAAGCCAATCAATATAAAAAATTCTAGAAAATCGGCTACCATCTAATAAAAAAACACTTGGATATTTTATATAATTTATTTCACGTTGAAAAAAATCGTTTAATGTTGCTTATGTAAAATCAATTGAAGAATTTATAATTATATGGAATAAAGTTATAATACCAACTACTTGCAAAGATAATACTTTAGTAAAATTTAAAAAACTCTATAATCAGTGCCTTAATTTATATAAACTTGTAATCTTTTTTCAAACCACTCTTCTATTTAACTTTTTCAACTTAAATTTTGTAAATGTTCCAGAAATATTCCGAAATTTAAACATATGTTAAATTAAAGCTTATGTTTCATACATAAGTTCAAAAAAAATTGGTCACAATACTTTATCATGTTAAAAAATGTTATTTTTAAGCAATAATTTCGTATATCGCCAAAAAAGTAACTTAATTTGAAAAAATAAATTTTACAGAAAAGGAGAAATAAAATTTACAAATGTATACTATTTAATGACAAATTAAATTTTTTTCGAAATCTCTTGTGGAAACTATTTAAATATTTAGTATTTATTATTCATGTTGGTACAATCAAAATAATCATTAAATTTTACTTAAACATTTTTTTAATTCTTTTTTTTTTTTGTGAAGGGCCTTCAACCTTAACTTCATAGGTACCCAAAAATAGTCTGTATTTCACACAGGATTTTGTATTTGTAAAATTCCACATAAATTTATCGTAAGCACCAGAAAAGTGTTCATTTATTAACCAGCATTATCGCATGATAATAGAAAAGTTATTTCAATACTTTAAAAAAAAAAAAAAAGCTTATCAATGCTTAACATTCTTAAACCTTATGAGCCCACCCGCAGATTTGAAGTGCAATAATATAATAACCGCGCAATGCTGAGAATTAACCGTACAAACTCCGACGTGATCGTTTCAATGACAGATAGCACATCTACAAGATGTAGATAGCCACCGTTTTGTTTCATTTTATTATTTTCATCATTATTATTGTTATTCTAATAATACTATGATATACGCCATACCTAGGTTGAACCGCTTTGTGCGGGCACGATGCAACGGTATGTTATATTATAATAATACGCGTGTACGCAGATCGGCCTCTTTTCATGGAAAATAATGAAGATCAAATTGGACAAAGACCACACAACGGCAGTAGTTACTCTGTATGTAGATACAGAATATAAGGTACGATGGAATAACTTCAAATATCATTTTTTGTTTCCGGTAGGCATCTCAGTAGTAAGTGTTCATAATAAATAGTGACAGATTTACTAGAAGCTATGATGATTTGAACGGGTTTTAAAAAATATGGATAATTTTTATACAAAATTGCTTTAACAATTTACATAATTAATATCAGTTTAATATCAAATATTGTTCTACACAAAAAGCCGAATTAAGACCTATAGGTGCCTCGGATAAGTACCTTTAGATGAATCCCCCGTGAAAAATATCACTACTATGAAAAATGTGATGAGCAAAAAAAAAAAAACCTCTGAAAAACTCTATTGCTAATTATAACTAGGTTATAAAATTCGAAATGTACCCTTAAGCTCGTTGACGTTGGGCGTTATCCCCATTGCCTCCTTAATCCGGACCTAGCATCATTTCGTAAAGAACTTCAAGAAGTAACTTGATCAATTATCAATGTCTCAATTTTTAATTAATTATGTACAATTTAGGCAAAACTTTGGTCACGATCTATTGAACATATAGTGTTAAAAAGCACATGCCTCTAGTACGAAAAGCAACAGGAAACCACTGTTTTAACCTTCTCCCTTGTATATACCAGTTCAACTGTCGATAACTGATGTCAATCAAACAACTTTGATTGATATAAAAAATCATTGCATTTTAATAAATGTATAACATACATGAATGTCATAAAAATCAATGAAACTTATTATAAATATATATTAATACGAAATTTCTTATAATAAGGTTGTATTTTTATACTTGTGAGTTGTTCAATACCTTCAGCATCCATGACATAGGCGCAAATTTATAATAACCTTAGGTTTGTCTACTGGTAATGAACACCTGTAGTGCCGGTCACTGCCTGTGAAGTTTGTAAAATTCAAATATTTGTCATAAGCTCTTCATAAAAATAATTAAATTATTTTAAATACGATGAAGATCTAAACCTTTAAAAAATATTTTATAAAGCATTAAATATATATAAATATTTAATATCTTAAGATTTGTGTGAATGAGAAGTAAAATAAGGGTTAAGCCCCTTATCTTACTTTTCATATCTCATGTATCCCATTTCTTAGTTTTCATTCCCTTGGACATGACTTTTTAATAAGGTCTGGATAAACCTATGGTGGAGACTTGGATGAGCTTAACCCTTATAAAACTCTTTAACATATTAAAAATTTTTAATACGTTTATAATAATAAATGCACTTGTAATTTTAGAAATTAAAAAAATATATATACTATTATTTATTGTTCTAAAATTAAAAAAATATAGAATAAAAAGCATAATTGTTCACAAGGGTGACAAAGGGAGAGGGACAATCTCCTTGTTTGCTCTTTTTACTTTATTTTTATTAAAATGTATTATGAATATTAATAGCATGATTTTTATGAATTTATGACAAGTAGATTTGTTTTTATTTATTAAATTTATTGGCACATAATTTTATAAATATTACATTACATTTATTACATTTATACATTTATTGGATTCTAATTCGTTAAATAAGAGAAAGCTCCTATTTGTTATGCCTATGGCGAAATCTCCAAAAAAGCGTGGTTCCTTGGTTGAGAACTCCGATAACCCAATTTGTTACAATTTAGTATAGATATTTTATTTAGATTTAAAGAGGAAAACGACTGATATTTCTTGTTCCTCCTAGAAAAATGTATGCTTACGTTCCATGCAAATAACCCCAATGAAAATGCACATGATCACAAGTAAATTGAACCCAAATATTTTAAGATTTTTTTTTATGAAAAAGGGTACGTATGTAAAAAGTATCTAAACCGGAATTTTAAACAGAAGATATAAACAAAAATGCAAGAATCTACAAAAATGGGAGTTTAGTAGGAAGAGCGCATAAAATACGGTGAGTAATAAAGTATGTGTATGCGTGTAGTGAACAAATGATAAGTCGAAGGCGAACCAGTTACACTATAACACGACATTCGTTTGCCTCGCCACAGGTTACCCCCTTCGTTACTCCTGTCCGTTCATCATTGTGTAAACGGATTACTTCTCTATTATTAACTCCCCTTACCTCTCTCCACGGCATCCGAAGAAAATAAAGACATCAACACGAATCCGGACGTGCGGCGTCACATAATGGGTTATCCAGACAACCGGTTAGACCGGTTCCCCATCACCGACAGTGCTCTCGCCGTCAACTCGATCGCGCCCTTCATCCTTCTTATTCCATTTACCGCCAAAGAAATACTTTTTTTATATAATGAACACCATCGAACATAGTCATCAATAAAGAAAAGTACACGACGACCGATAGAAGAATTAAAACGAAGTTAGAAGGTGTGTGCGCGTGCGAGTATCTATTCTAAAGTAAATATAAGGTAATTAGAACGAAAGAATAAAAAACAATCATGTGAAAAGCTATAATGCTAAAATATTTGTTTGTTTTATTTTCACCAATATATTTTAACAGAAATGTTACTTACCATATCAATTATACATGAGTTGAGCTAAAAATGCATAAATATAATGATGTATTAACTGATAGGCTAAATAGGCAAAGACTTGGATGGTGATTTTAAAGGGCAGCTTTTCTAAAATAAGTAAATTTAAAGTTCTGTTATATAAAGTTTTCTAAGTAAAAGAGAAAATTTAAAGTAACTTACAGTTTTTATCATTAACACTGTAAATATAATTCAAATAATTGAATAAATCGTCCTAAAAAATGTTCACATAAAATATCTTAATTTATAAATTTAAAATTTCATTATTTGAACTCGGAATAATATTTATGAATATCAACATGTCTATTATTAAAGCCAAATTTTATTTATAATTTTTAACATCATATTTTTAGATTAGCTTCGATGCGAAGCTGAAAAGGTATTAATCTTACTATGATATTTTTTTTTTGTGTTTGTGAACGCTCAATCTCAGCTCTCGCTTGACCAATTTTGATGAACAATACATCAAAAGATCACGAATCGTATCTAGTCGAAGACATTACCCTCGAAAATTGAAAAAAATTTCTTCGTTCCCCGTAAATGGGGGAAATCCCCAAAAAAATTACAAATTTAAAAATTCCTAATTTTCTACATTTTTTAAAATTTTTTTTACTTAAAATTGCCATAACTTTTTTAAAAATGACCGAATCTATATAACTTTTTTTTTATAGATACCTTAGGTATTTACCTATCATTTGACTTATTTTTATAAACATTTGACCTTTTACCAGCCCATAGGAAGAGTTTCAAAATGTAACTTCTTCAATTTAATTTTTGAAAGTGTTCCAGAAATACTGACACTTTTATATATATCTTAAATTAAAGCTTATGTAATATACTTTAATTTGAAAAAAAAATTGACCTCTGGATTTGTCTTCATGGTGAAAATAACTACCGTATGCTATTTTTGTGTTAAAATTCTGGGTTTTGTATTGACATGGTATAGAAAGTTAAACATATTTAATTTTTTTTTGCTATTTTTAAATAAACAAAAATAACTTTGAAATTTGAACTAGCTTAAATAGTTATTTTTTTCAGTTGACGTTAGCGACGTACGTATGCCGAGTCGGTAAAACTTGTGTTTACGCGCTTGGGGTACAAATTTCCAATCCGCCTATCGCAAGGTATTTTTTGCATTATTTTCTTAATTCTTTTTAAGTTAGAATAAATTTTCAACTGCTTTGATTTTTATATCATTTAAATTCAATAACTTCAATAAAAATCCAGGATCCCATTACAGTAGTCGCCACTTGCGAGAAGAAATTTCTTATTCATATTAAAATTATTTTACTATATTTTAAGTTTCAACTTCGATGCAAGGCTGAGAAGATATGTTTTTGTGACTATCATTTATTTTCTCTGCTCTAACTTGACCTACTTTTTTCAACGATACGTCAAATGACTACACAATTCGTATCTAGTTGAAGATATTACCCTCAAAAATTGAAAAAAAGAATTCTAATTTATCAATTAAACAATTAGTTATTACATGTTCTCCATACAGACAATTAAAATCATTAATTTCTAATGTTTTCAAAGTATTTATAGACGAATCAAGTTTGATATGATAGGTTTCAACTACAAAATTAAATCATTTTACTTTGTAATTTAATAAATTTTTTACTCTATTTGTGTGTGCTACTACTAGACTATAATATTACAAATTTTTTGGTAACATATTGCTATATAAATCATATCTAAAAATAATTATTGTTAGTTTCTCCTGAATTAATAATGGAATTTTACAATTATAATCAAATTTTATTATACGCTCATTTGAGTCAATCTTTTTAACAGCTTTGTTTTGATTGGTTCATTTAGTTAAAGTAAATCATTAAAATTAATTAAGTTCTGAATATTTCAATTGCAGAATCTTTTCAAACACAAAAAGTTACTAGGAAATTATTACTATTACTTCTATTTAAGTTATCTATTATAATAAAAATGCCAAAAAATATTGAGCTTTTCTGATAAATTTACAATAAATAGTAATTATAAAACTTCCTAACTGCATATTAATCTTAACGATACAATTGTTTTAATTCTCATAAAATTTTCTATTTAATGATGTCAATTTTAAACTTGTATTGAGCTAAAAGTTATGGTAACAAATTCAATTTTTTTTACTATAAACTTTATCAACAATTAATCATCAACTTTAAAGAAACAAAAAAATAGGTTAAAAATGAAAATTTGGACGGATTATTTTTAACATTTTAAAAATCAAAATCAGTAATAATTTGAAAACAATTTTTTTTTTCTTTTAATTATTATTTTATATGTAATTAGTAATAATATAAAAAATGAGAAGTGATAGAAAAATTCTAATTGCAGATTTAAAAACAACACGAAAAGTTGATTTAGATAAGTATATTTTTGCTTCAGATGAAAGTTCTTTGTAGTCTAGTGTATAAAACATAACTTTGCTATAAATAACAAACATTTTTTATTGAAATGTATTGCATCAAAGTCCTTTAAATTTTTATACACGTTAAAAGTAAAGAAATATACAACTACTTTATTATTTTTATAATATCTTCGTAAAAATTACAATATTAAATTATTGAATATCAATTTCATACTAAATTTATTTACTATAATTATTATTTATTCATATATTACACTTATAAATCATAAAAGTTGTAATCATGATATCAATAAGGGAATAGAAGATTATGTAGTTTTTGGAATAATTCACCAATTTTTTTTAATTAAAAACTATCTACAGATTTGTATTAAAGCGTTTTTTCTGATAATGATTTTAATCACTGTCAGATATCATCTATACTAGACCCAACTATGCCACGTCCCCACTGTGTTCGGTTTTTTTTAATTTCAAATTATTATAACTTTTTGAAAAATCTATGGATTAATACAATTTTTTTCATAAATACTTTATACATACTCCTTTTATCCAACATATTTTTTTTAAAAATTGGACAATTCCCTGTATACAAAATAGCTTTAAGAATTTGAAGTATACGTGTAAAAAGTAGAACTTTTTAAAATTAACTTTTGAAACTTTTAAATTAAAGCTTATGTTATGTACTACAAGATAGAAAAAAAAATTGTTCCGACACAAATAGCAATATATATATATGTGCAAATAGCTGCCATAATTAAAATCGATACTATTTTTGTTTACATACATATTTAACAAGCTTATTAAATATAAAAATGACCTAACATAGAAAATGACTAGTCGATAACAGCTTTTGACTCGTTTTTTTTTTTTTTTTTGAAAGCGTAAATCTATTAAAATATAAAGTAGTGATTAGGTGTGTTATGTAATTTTTATCATTTCGAAATACTATTTTAAAAATTCTTATTAATAATCATTTTATTAATGAAATCATATTTTATTTTATTTTATTAGCCAGTTGAAATTTTAATTCAAAATATTGAACACCAATTCCAAAATAAATTTCATTTATATAATATATATTTTAATAATATTTAATTTTAATAATAGTAATAAAAATTGAGTAAAAGGCAGATCTTAAATTGATTTGATTAGATGCTGAGAAGATATTGCTGTGTTTTTTTAGTTCTGTTAATACATTTTTCTGGTTTAACTGGGTCAATTTGCTTAACATTATGTCATAAAATCCCAAATCAAAGATAATGGCAGAAATTTACCATAAATTAAAAATAAATTCCTTCAAAAATTGATATCAGAAAAAATATTCTAATAAATGGCAGTTATAAGAAACGTTTGCTTTTATTATTTTAATTTTAATGCTAATATATAATCGATTTTTAACAAATAAATGTATGCTTATAAAATCCTTATTGATAATATTTTATACTATGATGAAAAAAATACATGCTTTTAGTTATGAATATTTTGAATGAACTTTGAAAATTTAAATTCTTATCCAGATGGTCTTTTAATATTTTACTGAAGTATTGCTTATATGCTTTTATCATTTCTATTTACAAATTGTTAAATCTTTCGTTACTCATTGGTAATGTTCCTTCTATATGGAATATTAGTTTTATAAGCCCCATTTATAAATCAAGTGATAAAAATTATCTTAAAAATATAAACACATTTCTAAACTATCATCACTTCCTAAACTCTTTGAAAAACTATTAGTGCCATTTCTTTCGTTTGCTTTTAGAAATGTTATAAATTCTAGCTAAAATGGTTTTATTAATGACAAATCTATAGAAACAAGCGTATTATGTTTTTATAATGAAGTAGTAAGTTCTGTCGAACAAAGTTTTCAAACAGATGCAATTTATACGGATTTTATTAATCTGTTTGGTACGGTTAACTATTCCTTACTTATTAAAAAACAATCCATATATGATGTTTATAACCCTCTTGTAATATCTTATTTTTCATTAAGTTTATTTGTCTCAAGTTGTAAAAGTTAATGAATATTTATCAGATCATTGTTATGCTCGATCCGGTGTACCTCGGACATATGAGATAAATTATCCGGAAGGGATCATTTTATCTTCTCTTCTATTTTTAACTTTTATTATGGATGTTGAAAGTTGCTTCAAATTCAGTAAACATCAATTATTGACTGACTTAAAATTTTACTGTACTATAGATACTGTTAATGTGATGGTGCCCTGGAATTCATTATACGTAATACCTAGTAGTTCAATAACATAAACTGTTATAAACTTTATACTATTCGTTGGTAAGACCCATTTTAGAATATGCGAGTATCATTTGAAATCCTTTCCAAGTTGGTTAATAATAATAATATGACCATTATTAAAAAGTCACATTTCTTGTCCTGAATTTTTGAGCCTCGTTTTAATCCATGTCCCCCAATACTCTTCTCGATCTTGTTCGATTTATAAAAAAAAATTAATTTTAAAATATCCATATTACACATAAAATTTTATTTTTTTTTAGATATTTGACTATTTTCCAGAAGAACTCATTCTATAAAAATATTTGAAAATAAAGTGTCTTAAATGTTCATAATGATTAAAAAAAATTGATTCAGTAACTCGTTTCCTTTAATAAATGTCAATAAAGTAAAAATCATAAAATGTAAAATGTAAAAATTTTAATTTTTGTTTAATTAAATATTTTTAACGTTATTATTTTTTTTACCAAGTACTGACACTATATAAGCTTGTTAAAAGATTTTCGAAAAACTGTCTAAAGAATTAAAAAAATGACTTTTTCAAAAAATAACTTCGTCCTTCAGCACATTTTTTCCGAAATGGTATAATAGTAATCTCACTGTCATATTTTAAACAATACTAATATCTACTGTACTAGAACCGTGAGGTCCTACGCTATGTCCCAACCGTGTGGATTTTTTCGCATAAAAAACTCAAGAATTGTTATTAATTTTAGAGAAAGGAGTAAATAAGTTAAATACCATTTTCAATCAAGTTTTTGAACTCTCTCTCAACATTTTTTTAAAAAATATGTTGAAATAAGTTTAATCAGCACTTAATAACAATAGCAGATTAATAACATAATTATTTTAGGGAGATTAGATCTTAAATTCAAGTATCAAATACCATGTATGCTTCAAGGAAAATAATCGGTTTAAATTTTGATGCAAGTTACAAATCATAACTTTTAATACCAAAGGTTTTAAAAGTTATTAATTTTAAACTTAGGATTTTTTTATATAGTATAACTAATATTTACTGAAATAATTTTAAACTTTGATTTTTTCAATATATCATATCAATTGTTGACGTCAGCATCAGACTATTATGATTATATCGATATCTTATCTATCGTTATTTTGTCATACTTTAGTACAAGGCAGTTACAAAATATTCACGTGGAAAAATTAATATTTTAAAACTAGTGTAAAAAAATTAATTGAGGGATTATTCGTGTGTCAGGCTAATGTATTAGAGTTCAGTTACTGCTTGTTAATTCATAGAGACAAACGTTCTTTAGTTTACGGTAATCGTTGAAAAATATATAACAACCATATATCATTTAATTTGTTGCAAAGTTAGTAATATGAAAATATACCAATTTTACATCCTTGCAAGTGTTAAGCCTTATACATAATATTTTATTTTTCAAATCAATATAAAAAATACATTTTAAAAGGTCGATTATATAATGGTGAACTTAAAACTTATAACTAAGTTAGTCATTTTCGTAGTGCACATTATAGTATTCTTAATTGGATTAATTGGAAACATGATGGTGATATCTGTTGTTTTTCGCATTCCTAGGATGCAAAATACTACAAATTATTTCATCGCAAATTTAGCTATGGCTGATATTTTTGTTACGTTGATAACTTTACCTTTACATTTCTTTTTCAATTTTGATATGAGTAAGTGTAATCCTATAATAATTAATTCTATAATATTTTTTATCAAATAGTTATAATAAAGCTTATCTATTTTATAACAGATACAATTAATTATCACATTAAGTTTTACATTTTGAAAATTGGTTAAAAATAATTGGTTTATATAGTAAGCTGTAAAACTCTTAGGTAAGGTAAAACACACGGTAACATAATCCAATTATAAATAAGAGGTTAAAAATAATTATATTTTATAAGTTTTTCGTTTTTAAATATCTTTAATATCAATTAAAAATCATTATTAGTATGTATTTTGTTCCTTTGCATTTTACTATTTACAATGGAAATCACCCAATTAGACGAATGATTCGTCTATCTTTAATTTTTCAAGTTACCTATATAACTGACAAATATTACTAAATAAATAAATATATTGAATATTTATCAATAAATTAATGTACCGAATAAATAAATAATTGTAATTATCTTAAATACAGGAAGATGGAAATGCAACTCAAATAATAAAATTGACTACAGAGTTCATCGCAAACGTAGAAAAAATATTTTTTATTAAAAATATTTAAAAAAACACTGCATAAATATTTTTACAACCCCGCAATACCTAGCATCCACATTACTTAGACATCCTGATGCCAGTGACATAGTTATGATTTGTTTTAGGAGGGATATACAATGAAAATTTTTTGGTACCCATCCTAACGAAAACATCTATAACTACGCCATTGCATGATACCATCTTGCCCAATGTATCGTAATATAAAATGAATTAGAGACGCAACAAATTTCAAAGAATGGCTACATTATTTTTTCCCCGCCAGTCAAAATTTACTGTTTTTTATTATCCTTTATTAAGAAAAATAGTATCATTGAAAACAACCGATTTTGATTATTTTTTGGCAATTTATAACTGCTTTTAATTTTTAAAGAATACATGATCAAAACTAGACTTTATCGATAGTACAAAAGATAATTAGATAAAAGATATTTTGTTTGATATTTAGGATTAAATTAGATCAGCTTTGTAATTAATAGGCATCGAACAGGAAGACATTGAAAAGGATGAAATACAATTGTTGTGAATCTCATTAAAAAAAAAAAAATGAACACAACCTATTTTATTTAGCAATACTTAGGTTTACTCGGTCAAGGGAAGTGTTGCCCCAGTTGTCGGCACACTCCAATATTAAAAAGTAATACATGGTAATACTCAAAATTCAAGTGATATTACCACACCTACAGAACTTAATATATATAATTAATAATTTAATCAATGCCTACTTATAGGAAATGTAATTTATATAATTTATATTAAAATGGAATGATCTGATTTAAGTGGAATTTATTTTATAGTAGAGGAGAGTAGGGTAAGATGATACAGATTAGTTATTTATTAATCCAATCAAATTATATAAAATCTTTTTATTTCAGGTTTTAAAACCTAAATCTAATCCTAAAACTTAATCTTTTGTAAAAACTTAAAAACTTTTAATTATAGACTAAATACGATAAATAATTAGGAAAAATACATTTTTTATATTAAGCTTATCTGTTTTTGAAAATATTTGTGAAGTTTCATTCCTCTATCTGAAATATTATTGCTACAATAGCACAAAATGTAATAAATATGTCAAATAATCTGCGACTCTCTTTAATATTTCAAATTATACAAGTGTCTTTACTTTAGTTTTTCTACATAAGGTTTTAAAACGCCAAACTTATAAATTTAATCCACTCGACATTTTTTGAATCATTGTTGGAAGCAGATAGAGTTTATAAAACTTTTTTATTATATAAACGCAATTGTAAATATATCAGTAGCTGTAGCGGTGTAATACGAAGCTACCATTAGCCCTTTAAGCACCCCATGCAAGCGTTAATATGGCGCCTTGTAAAAAAAAAATGTATGACTGTTTTTTTAAATTGATGAGCAAAAAAAATAGAACATAACAATTTTCTTGCTGAGGTATCTTATACAATCGTAGGCATCGATAATACCAAAACTGACATATACAACACAGAAGAATCATTTAATGAATAATGAAAGAATTAACAAGTTAGAATCCTTATATTAAACATGAATTATAAAGTTATTATTATGAGTTACATAAAAAGTAATTATAACTTTTATTTCATGTGTTGTTTTACGACGAGAAAACACGTATGACCTATATATTTATGATATGTTATTTGATAATAATAAACAAATTAAATAATAAAACTCAAGTACTTTATACTTTTATTACAATAAACGAATTACAATTTACTGTCATTTTTTATTTTCGATTCAATTAATAATATGTTACAATAAAAACATTAGTTAATCGACTAGAAAATTATCCTTACGCGTATATATCTACATTTTATTTAAAAATGTGCAATTTGTAGTTTATTGTATTTATAAAATTTTTTTTGTTACTGTTATTATTATTATACGACAAGTTGTTCTTAAAAACCTTTTTTGCAATTTTTCGTACTCGTTAACCTTATATGGTGAAAATAACTGAAACACGCCAACAATAATTTTTTGAAAGTATTTATTAGAATTAGTTTCTTAAAAATATCTTTTCTTAGTTTTACCTAACAAACAAAAAAAAATTTTTTCTTAGTTGATATTAAATGTTTTCAAAATAATAGCACTTCATTTTGATAGAAAAATAGTATTTAAAGTTTTGATTTATAATTTGTTTCAGTTGAGAATCTACCAACCTGGGCTTGTAAGTTAACTTCATATATTTCCTGTGTTGCATTGACAGCTTCAGTTTATTGCTTGATCATCGTCTCAATTGATCGGTAGGAATATAATTGATGCATTAAAAATATAATGGAATATGTTTGTTTATTATAGTACTACACTTGTAGGTTTTTAGTTATTTGGTATCCGTTAAAACGCCTAGTGACCTATCATCAAGTGCGATGTGTAATAGGTACAATTTGGTTGATTTGCTTAGTGTTAAGTATTCCTCATGCACTACTTATAGAATCAGTTTACAAAAATGAAACAACATCAGTGTGTTCTGAAGTGTGGCCCGATCATATAGATAGATTTATATTCGACTTACTTAATCTTTTTTTTCTACGGTATCTTTTACCGGTTGGAATTATAACGCTATGTTATGTGATGATTTGGCTTAAAGTATATACACGAACAATACCAACTGATAACATAGATTCCCGGCATCAAAAGTTGCTGTATAACAGTAAGAAGAAAGCTACAAAAATGCTAGTTATGCTGATAATACCATTCACATTAACTTGGTTACCGTTACAGGCAATATTTTTGAGGTTAAATTTTAATCCTTCTCCTTGGGAAAATAATATTTTGCTGCAAGCAATGCCCATTGCCGAATGGTTTGGCATCTCTAATAGTTGTATTAATCCCACGGTATATGCCATATTCAATAAAAATTTTCGCCGAGGTTTCGTCGACATATTAAAAAGTCGTTCATGTTGGGGAAAACTTCAACACAAGAATAATTTGTTTTGTAAAACTAATTTAAAATACATTAGTCAGAGAAGTGTCACTTCAAATCATCAATCATCGCGTGTATATTCATTGTCGAGTCAATCAGAAGACGAACGTTCATTTACTTTACTTTTTCAGCCGCACTAATTTAATTAAGAAGTTATTGACAAGATACTAGTTGAATTTATAAAAATTAATTAATAAATATCTTTTTTTAGTAAAATAAATTTTTCCTATTTTATTTTTATTACATTGTGAGTACTCATAACCAGTAAGCATAACAAATAGGAGAACATGTGAACCTCATTACTGGGTACAATACAATAGTTACACTAAAAAATATTAAAATGCTTATAATATCCTCAGCGTAGAATTTATAATTTATTATGTTAACCTGATGTAAAAATGATCACTTTTTTCTGTAGCATGTAATTTGTAGTATATGGTGGTTAAGGGGCCATCCATAAATTACGTCACCCAAATTTTAGAACTTTTAAACCCCTCCTCCGTTCTTGTTACGGGTTGTCACATTTTTAGAACCCCGTCCCCCTGATGTGACGTCACACATTTTTCAAACTTATGGCATGTATTTAAAAATAAACATTTCCATAAGGTATTAACTTCATCTTGAAGTATGTTTTGTTTTTTTTGTCAGCATACGCTGCACTGTAGACATTAAAAATTCTGCGGTAAAGACTACCTAAATCAATCTTTTTGTTCATTTTAAAATTATTTGATAAATTAAAAATATTAAAATAGTTTAACGGAGAAAACTATGACTGTCACTCATCGAACGTATACTATTAGCGAGGCGCAACAATTGTATAACTAGCGGTATTATATTTAAAGTCGCACCTCCACCAACAGCACCCACGAGCTGCCACTGCGTGAGAGATAATCTCATAGCGAGAGTGCTTAATTATTTATAAATATAGATCAAGTTCGAACATTTTTTATTTACATATAAATTTCGTGTTTTAGTATTTTAAATTTTAACATGTGACGTCACAAAGCTTTTGATCCCCTCTACCCCTTTTCACACTATATCACATTACGGTGACATCCTCTCTCCCCATTAACGCTAGACATACTATTTACAAATATAAACTAAGTATAAATAGTGAGATAAAAATATTATCTAATGAATAATGAACTGAAACAAAACGAAAAATAAAAGTCTACTCTTACTATATCAATGGGGTAAAGGTTACACGAAATAACAAAATAATCACTAAGTTTATTGAATTTAGTAACTTTGCAATTCAAATCATAGTATTTAAATGTAATGAGTAAAAAATAAGAGTTAGCCACTTTGGGATAAATATTTTTCTCAAAAAATAATACTTTTCAATAAACAAGACAATTACAAAAAAAATTGTAATTCAAATTATTAGATTAATATACAAATTTAATAAATTATGACCAAATCATATTTATTTCAAAATAAGTATAATATATATTCTTTTAGAGCTAAATTGGACTTTTTATCTTTAATCAAAATTTTTCTTTTAGATTACATGATAAATATTGTTTACAAAAATAAAAGCATGTTATTTCTCAATATTGATTAAATATTCTGTATCCAAAAAAAAATCAAATCTTTTAAAATTATTTTATAAACATAAAATAGAATTTATAAAAAGTTTATTATAACAAAAGTATGACAAATTTAATAATTTGTACAATGTTTCAATTTTATCTCTATAATTTTGTAACGACCAAAAAGCATATAAAAAAGATCTAAGATTTGATAGTTATCAACTATTGGTTCATTACTATAAATTTATGTTAACAAATAAATTATATCAATATTGAACTCTTACCCAAATTCAAGATTTCACTTAACAATTTGTCATTTTTTTCAACTATTGAGTAAAAACGAAAAAACATCTATTGGTTAGTTTTATTCAACTTTTCTGTTTTAGAACTATACTATTATTATTTATAAACATGTATTATTAGTGAAATTCTGTATTCAGTTGGATAGTTATATGACATTTTTCTATTTAAAACATGTTACCTGAATTATTATAGGATAATTTAAAGGATATGGAAGAAATCTGTCGAGAGGAAAGCACAAAAATTGCTTTTTTACAAGCTCTGGTTTCACTATCCGGTTAGTTGCCCCCTCAATTAAAATTCATTAAATTCCTAAAAATGTAGACAAATTTTTATAATGTAAAATTCTCAACCCAAATTTTTTTTAACTCCGTCAATAATGCATAAGAGGCGCTCATCGTTTTTGCCAAGTTTATACCTGTCTACCAATAAAACCTTAACTGGTTAAAATACTCGCTAAAATAACCCTATAATGATTATTTACTTTTTATTTAATCGAATTTTTTCCAATTTTATTATTGTTAGTTAGACAGCAGTGCGTTGATAATCGATATATCGATAAAATATTTTCCCATCCATTCTTTTTATTTAATTTTTTGACTTTTTATATTTAAATATCATTTGAATATATTAGAAGTAAGCGAAAGTATGAACAAATGATTTTATTGCATAATTTTAAGTTTCGTTTTGCATATAAAGCAATACAAACGGGTAACATAAACTCGCCAACAGTCATACATGTTTTTTTTTGTTGTTGTTTTAGTGCTTCTGCAAACACTACGAGTATCTTGCGCGATGAGTGCGATTTAAGTGTACGATTGAATCGCTCGACCATTCCATTCGCCCTTGGGTGATGAAGATTAAAGTTCAAATATGCCGCATCCTAAGTGTTCGAAAGTGAACGGAACAATTCCACTTCCAAATCGCTTGTACGAAATCCGGCAGGCCAAAAGTTGTTAGAATTGTAATAATGTAAACTCCCCCATATGATTAATTATAATTATGCTAGCTCCTCTGCACATTTTACCACATTTTTAGGAGGTGCCATAATTTTATTTTGTCCTAATCTTCAAATTTATAAAAATTATAAAACCATTTTTGTAATTTTTTTACAATGATCATAAATAATCAAATAGATTGATAAGATTCTAACTGTTTTTAATAAAAAAACGGTAGCACAGTGGGGTAGAGGCACAGTGTGGACGAGGCATAGATGGGACAAGTATAGATGATATCTGACAGTGATTAAAATCACTATCATAAGAAACGCTTCGATGCAAATCTGTAGATAGTGTTTCATTTAGAGAAATTGGTGGATTATTCCAAAAGGAACATCAACTCTTATTTCTTTAATTATATCCTGATTAGCAGTTCTTTGATTTTAAAATATAATATATGAATAAATACTAATTATAGTTTTTAAATTTAGTATGAAATTGTG